CACATTAAGGTCCTGGAGTGGCCTAGCCAGTCTCCAGACCTTAATCCCATAGAAAATCTGTGGATGGAGCTGAAGGTTCGAGTTGCCAAACGTCAGCCTCGAAACCTTAATGACTTGGAGAAGATCTGCAAAGAGTAGTGGAACAAAATCCCTCCTGAGATGTGTGCAAACCTGGTGGCCAACTACAAGAAACGTCTGACCTCTGTGATTGCCAACAAGGGTTTTGCCACCAAGTACTAAGTCATGTTTTGCAGAGGGGTCAAATACTTATTTCCCTCATTAAAATGCAAATCAATTTATAACATTTTTGACATGCGTTTTTTCTGGATTTTTTTGCTGTTATTCTGTCTCTCACTGTTCAAATAAACCTACCATTAAAATTATAGACTGATCATGTCTTTGTCAGTGGGCAAACGTACAAAATCAGCAGGGGATCAAATACTTTTTTCCCTCACTGTATATATATATATATATATATATATTGTTTCTCATGGTCTGAGAGTCTTTAGGTTCCTTTTGGCAAACTCCTAGCGGGCTGTCATGTGCCTTTCACTGAGGAGTGGCTTCCGTCTGGCAACTCTACCATAAAGGCCTGATTTCTGGAATGCTGCAGAGATGGTTGTCCTTCTGGAAGGTTCTCCCATCTCCATAGATGGAGCTCTGTCAGAGTGACCATCGGGTTCTTGGTCACCTCCCTGACCAAGGCCCTTCACCCCCTGATTGATTAATTTGGCCAGGCGTCCAGCTCTAGGAAGAGTCTTAGTGGTTCCAAACTTCTTCCATTTATGAATGATGGAGGCCACTGTGTTCTTGGGGACCTTCAATGTTGCAGACATTTTTTGGTACCCTTCCCCAGATCTGTGCCTCGACACAATTCTGTCTCGGAGCTCTACGAACAATTCCTTCGACCTCATGGGTTGGTTTTTTCTACGACATGCACTGTCAACTGTGGGACCTTATATAGACAGTTGTGTGCCTTTCCAAATCATGTCCAATTTACATTTTTACATTTTAGTCATTTAGCAGACGCTCTTATCCAGAGCGACTTACAGTTAGTGAGTGCATACATTTTCATACCAATCAATTGAATTTATCACAGGTGGACTCCAATCAAGTTGTAGAAACATCTCAAGGATGATCAATGGAAACAGGATGCACCTGAGCTCAATTTTAAGTCTCACAGCAAAGTGAATACTTTTTAAAATTATTTTTTATTTTTTATTTTTTTAGGGGGTAGATCAGCTTTAATATTGCAGATAGATTGTAACTTCCATCAATGTAATTGTCTGCATCACTTCCAATCCCCCATATGTTTTTTTTCTTTCTCGCAAATATATATCTATATATATGTTGTTCACTAGTTTACTCCAATATATATATATATACACACATACATACACACACATACGTACATACATACATATATAAATGTCCCTTTATTACTTTCCAACCCCACCAACCCTTCCCTAATTGGAGTAAACTAGTGAACAACAATGCTTAGGGTCTGAATACTTATGTAAATAAGCTATTTCTGTTTTTTATGTTTTATAAATGTACACACATTTCTAAAAACCTGTTTTTGCTTTGTCATTATGGGGTATTGGGTGTAGATTTATGAGGAAAATCATTAATTTAATCCATTTTAGAATAAGGTTGTAACGTAACAAAATGTGGAAAAAGTCAAGGGGTCTGAATACTTTCCGAATGCACTGTACATAATTATTTACTAGCCAAAACAATTTGACAAGAAGGTATACTCTCCCTTATAATCAAAACGTTTCCCACTCATGTACAGTAATGCGCACGGCAGAAATATGTTAAGAGCCCTGACACTTAATAATCCTTGTGATGCGGTTTTGGAAACCTTGAACACTCAATTTATCATCCCAAAACAATTTTACAAATACAAACGATACACTTACACGGAGGTGTTTTGCATTGCATATTTACCTGAACTACGACACTTCTGGAGCTAATGGAAACCCAGGAGGGAACACAAAACATTTTTTGTCTCGAAGCTGTGTTACACAAAAAACCTCTGTGGAAATCTGTGATAAAACAGCTAACAGTAAGTCACGGCGTAACGCAGTTTCTCTGGGCCCCCCGCAAGGTTGCCGTTATAATAATCAAATGTGTCAGCCAGACAGCCACTCACAAAGTAGACTACAGATCGCTGTCCATTGTGCTGAAATTGCAACATGTCTATGTGGCTGCATGCCTATCAAATCGATTATAGGCTTTCTATGGTGCCAGGGCATAGCTTTGCTTTAGCTAATGGATAAATAATTATATTTAGGCCTATTTGGTCATAATTTTCTCAGGTTAAGGCTAACATTTCACGAGCTATACACGGTGTCACAATGCTGTCATTTTTAGACTGCTGGCTGGTGGCAATAATGTATTTACTTCTTCAGTAATTAAAGTTGGAAATTCAAACATTGCAGATTGTCATTTTTGTTGTTGTTGATTACAACAGTATACTAAATCAGCTACCAATAGATTTTTTAGAATATACAGCTGTCCTGTATCGGCTACCTGAACCTGTATGAACTGAGCCGTCCTCTCCCAGCTTGGATAGAAAGTTGTTGTGCGTAAAACCAGTCTATTAATGTCAAATAATACATCATGTCCACCCTCAAAACACTAGCTTACTAGGGATTGTTTCATTATGCAGTGTACTATCTATAGATGCGATTTAGGTGCGATTTAGGTGCTGTTTATAAACTTTTTATTAAAATTACACATCAAATAATAATGAGGAAGAAAGTAGCCGGTTTGAGGATAAATTCAGCCACTATTTGTTGTTGAACTCGGTAGGTTTGTTGGGGCATGGACTCAAGCGTTCCACAGGAAGCGTTCCACAGGGATGCTGGCCCATGTTGACTCCAAAGCTTCCTACAGTTGTGTCAAGTTGGCTGGATGTCCTTTGGGTGGTGGACCATTCTTGATACACACGGAAAACTGTTGAGCATGAAAAACCCAGCTGAGCTGCAGTTCTGGACATGAACCAGTGCGCCTGCCACCTACCACCATACCCCGTTCAAAGGCACTTACAGTAAATATTTTGTCTTGCCCATTCACCCTCTGAATGGCACACATACACGATCCATGTCCCAATTGTCTCAAGGCTTAAAAATCCTTCTTTAACCTGTCTCCTACCCTTCATCTACACTGAATGAAGTGGATTTAACAAGTGACATTAATAAGGTATCATAGCATTCACCTCGATTCACCTGGTAAGTCTATGTTTTACATTTTACATTTTAGTAATTTAGCAGTCAAGGAAAGAGTATGTCCATTGCGCTACACACAATTTAAACTGATATTGCAACCACACAACTCAAACGACGATTCACCAGTATGAACGAAAATCACTTTTTTTGTTCAAAGCCCTCAAGCCCTGCATCTTCCAATTGATTGGCTGTACAGTGTCCAGACGACCTGTCCCAGAGCTTCCTATACAGTTAATCTCTTTCCATGACGTGTTCAGGCCGGGAATTAAGGAGAATGAGAGGCTCAATTAAAGATGTTGCAGAACTGCTGTATTTGAAGCACCATTCCCTTCTGTCCAGTTTCCCTGATGTAGCCACAGCAATCAAGCTGTTTTTACCATCCCTGTAATTGTCGCTTCTGTGGAGAGATCGTTTTCTAAACTAAAACTCATAAAGAACTACCTAAGAAGCATTAGGCTCTCGGTCTGATATGAGCTTTTGAACACCTGAGTAAGCTCCACTCATTGCACTGGCGCTGTCGTAGGCTTGACCATGGCATTTGTTTGCCGATATCCAGTTGTGGAAAAAGTCCTCAATTTTCATACTTGAGTAAAAGTAAAGATACCTTAATAGAAAATGATGAAGTAAAAGTGAAAGTCACCCAGTAAAATACTACTTGAGTAAAAGTCTTTAAATATACTTTAGTATCAAAAGTAAATGTAGTTGCTAAAATTTACTTTAGTATCAAAAGTAAAAGTACTAATAATTTAAAATTCCTTATATTAAGCAAACAAGACGGCACAATTTTCTTTTTTCTTTTATTTACGGATAGCCAGGGTCAAATCCAACACTCAGACATCATTTAAAAACAAAGCATTTGTGTTTAGTGAGTCCGCCAAGATCAGAGGCAGTAAGGATGGCCAGGGATGTTCTCTTGATAAGTGTGCGAATTGGACCATTTTCTGTCCTGCTAAGCATTCAAAATGTAACGAGTACTTTTGGCTGTTAGGGAAAATGTATGGAGTAAAATGTACATCATGTTCTTTAGGAATGTAGTGAAGTAAAAGTAAAAGTTGTTTAAAAATACAAACAGGAAAGTACAGATACCCCAAAAAAGTACTTAAGTAGTACTTTAAAGTATTTTTACTGAAGTACTTTACACCACTGCCGATATTCCCCTTATACTTTCAATCAGTTTAATTTGTTATTTTTCAAGAGCTGGGGCACTTTTTCAGTCACATTCCTGAAGCCAAGAAACAAACACTTAGCGTCCTAGTACATATGGAAATTACAAAGTTTTATGAATGAATGACATTTTGGAGGGTTATGTCAAAATGATTTATTGCATTTTTTTAAATGGACATCCTTGCACCTGTACACCAGTGCAGTAAGTGTATCTTTTGCATTTGTAAAAAAAAAAAAAAATGGGATGATAATTAAGTTGAGTGTTAAGGTTTCCAAAACCATGTCGCAATCAAGGATCAATTGTTTCTAGATAAAGCGTTTCACAAATCACCTCAGCTAATCAAAAGGGACGTGGAATGATTGGAGTCAGAAAGGTTATAGGAGGACGGGCTCGTTGTAATGGCTGGAATGGAATGAATGGAACAGAATTCATTTCCATATGTTTGATACCATTCCATTAATTCCATTCTAGATCAAAATGTGCCCGGCCTCCTATAGCTCCTCCCACCAGCCTCCTCTGATGATAGGGTAGGCTCTTCCCCCATTATGACCAAAGGACATGTATTAAAGGGGCAATCTGGGATTCAAACAAAATGCTTACCTCTTGTCATCTCTGTACCACTCAAACTCTGGTTTGGGCACTGCGGCCGCATCACACTGAAGAACCCCCATTCGGCCCACCTGGGTTTCAGAGCTCTTGGCATTCTTGATGGCGGGAGGATCTAAGGATTTAATCACAACAGTTAATCTGGTTCTATTGTTTTCATCCATTAATGAAAGACACATCATGGATCTCAATGTAGTAAAAACAACTGGGCATTATACAAAACATAAGGCCAATAGAAACTGGAGTCACCCTCCAAAAAGTGACTTACAGTTGACGACAACATTGACGTATTTGACGTCCGGTGTGGCCACGTCATTGCTGGCTTTGCATTCGTAGCGGCCCGCCTGGTTCCTCATGATCCCTGATATATCCAGGTACTCCTCCCCATCTAGAGAATCCGCTGTGGGGAGACACAGAGAGAGAGAGGGTGAATGGAGGACATAGGGAAAACAGGATAGCTTCCAGGAAAAGCAGAACACTGATGTTCATAGCGGCTCTGACGCCGGCATGACTTCCAATAAGCCTGATTAGCAAATTAATGACAGACCAAATGTTCGAATGCAGCATCAAATGGACGGACCTGAAACAGCAGTTCCCTTAATTAGTCACGTATGTCTCCTGAGCTTCTCTCATTTAGCCCATCTACTCAGAATATGGACATATTTCCCAGTCAGATCTAGGAGTTATCAGGATGAGGAGAATGCCAAGCATGCGGATAAGATGCTGACTCTGCAGTGCTGTCTTGGGTTGATTAGATACCCGGTACAATTGCTCCATACAGTGCCATGGGATAGCATTGACGAAGGTACCATGGGGTAACATCGACTAAAGCTGTTCACAAACAATACAATAGTGTACTGTATCAACATTTCTCTTGGCATTTCTAAATGGATATTGATTGTCAGGGACAATAGCCTGCAGTGAATGCATAAAGACTCCTGAGACATGTTTACCTTATAACTTACATGTTTTTTTCCAAGCCCTGTAAATGTGTTGAAGACAGAGACAGTTTCTGAATAAAAAAAATACAAAAACAGCTAAACCTCAAAATGCCACCGAACCCGACTAAATAAAACAATGGGCACGCCTCAACTGAGCTGACACTCAGGGAGCAAGGTCTTCTACCCTGTGAAATTAAGTAACAACCCTGGGACGTGTATATGGAAGACTGTTCCTTTCCTGTAAGAGACACTCAAGTTATTCTCATAGATTTGTTTCTGGCTAAATCCGAAATGTGGTCTCAGTAAACACACCTAACAACCTCAATTTCAAGTCTCGAACTGCATAGCAACAGCATTCACAGCTGCGTGCCCAATGTATCAAGCTCTTTCTGTGCTACGCCCATAGAATTAGAATACTAATAATTTAATAGTAATTTAATAGGATCTCTATGGCTATTGTCTGGTGTAGTTCAATGCTTATGAAAAGAGCATTCAGATCAAAGCGTCCTCCTAGCATGGCCACTGCAGCCATATCAAACACACTCATCATGGACAAAGGATGCCATGATTGGAAAAGTAGGATTGAAATCAGTTGCCATGGAAATGTATTGCGGCTGCTTGATCGTTTATCATTAAGGCAGTTGGACTTCACCTGAATAGATATTTCTTGAGGGGGTAGAGAAAGAAGAAGATGACTTGGCTACAATCTACAGTACTGCAGCTTACTTACAGTAGCTATCTAGGTAACACTTTATTTGGATAGTCCATCTGTAGTTGCTCTACAGACTATCAGTAATATTTCTACTATCTACTAACCCTTACCCAAGCTCTAACTCTACGCTTAACCTAACTCTAACCTTAACCCTTACCCTAAAGCTAACCGTAACCTTAGCAAGCAGGTTTCCATCTACAGATGGAAAATCTGGACTATCCAAATAAAGTGTGACCAAAATTATAAAAATAATGTAACTTATTCAGTGAACTGGAAATATTAAGTCAATATCTCAGCAGGGTCCAGGGACAACTGTGTTATGAATATGACCCGATTTATAGTTTAATTAATTACTCTATTAAATAAAAAATGTCCCCCAGGAGGCTTGAGCAGCCTTATGAAAAACACTGTTATCTCTTTACATGGACTTCAAGTATTAACTCTCAGAAAGAAAGTAATGATGAAAAATAGGCTAACCTTCACCAGGAAAGAACCTGTTTCTATAGCTGTTCTAGCTCTGTGTGGATTCAGCAGGCATCAGTCACTGCTTTCCATGGGCCCCATGGGAATGGAAAAGTGATTGATTTGGAACGTGCACATAAAAAAATCACATGATGGCATGATGCTAATCCAGTGAGTGAGTGAGAAACCCAATGAGGTGGGAGAGAATGGAGTGCACATTTCAAATTTCACATAGATTGTCAGAGCAATAAATCTGTTTGAGTTGCTGGAAAAAAAGAGAGATGAGAGAGAGAGAGAGAGAATGAGAGAGAGAGAGAGAGAGAGAGAGAGAGAGAATGAGAGAGAGAGAGAGAGAGAGAGAGAGGCTGTGTGTGAACTGTAGAAAATGGAAGACTGAGGTGTGTGTGTGTGTGTGTGTGTAGGAGTGTGTGAGAGTGTGTCTATGCCTGTATCCTGTTCTGACGGTATACAAGTGTAAGACATGAATAGGTGTTCTCTACCATTCTCCCCTTAAAGTCCTGGGCTCATTCAGTTAAAAACAAAGCCAATGATCTTCACTTGATGCAGACAGAGACCCCTAGGAGAACTGTCCAAGACCATCCTGCTGAGCGACTAGCTCTGCCTAGCATTGCTAAACACCCCCCTTCACTTCAGTTTATTGTGACTACAGGTGAAATTTTAAGGTCCAAGACATGGCATTCAGCAGCACACTTCTCCAACTTGCTTTGAGCCTGGATGTATTTTAGATAGGCCCTACATCTATCTATCTTGCTAAGCTGCAAACGCATGATACGCTATGACAATTAAATAAACTATTTCCACTTCACCCATTTATAATGAACAGTGTTTATTATGAAAACGGAACTTAAAAGCGTCACTATGAAAATGGCACTTAAAATTCAACTTTGATGAAAAGCTCAATTTTGCTGGTGCCATGCTTTAATTTATTGTGTTGCCTGTGCGCCAGCAACACTGAAAGACAATGCATATAATTATTTTACCAACAAATTCTAGTTCTGAATAAAAGGCGTACGACCCTAGGGCTATCTAGCACCAGGATTTGGGAGCAGCATAACAGTGCAGTGGTCCGTGAGCCTCACATTCATAAATGTGTGGTGAAAGGTTATTTGCGTTGAGCCGCATTACTTTGGGTTTGTCTCAACAATTGAATTGCCTTAAATTCTTGGGAAAGCAACTACATTATGGTGAAGGCTGACCAAAACAGTGAAGGAGAGGGCTTCCAACCACAAGGGACTGCTGAGGGGAGGACAGCACATAATAATGGCTGAAATGGAGCCAATGGAATGGTATCAAGCACATCCATGTGTTTGATGCCATTCCATTGATTCCGTTCCAGCCATTACTATGAGCCCGTCCTTCCCAGTTACGGTGCCACCAACCTCCTGTGCTCCCAACCCACTACTACCTCCCCACCACTCCCCCAGACACAGACACAGAGTCCCCTGTGCCAGGAGGGAGCTGAGAGCCAGCAGCAGCATATAACTCATCTCAGAATGAATCAGATGGGACTGGGTAGGTCAACTCTAATCCTGGTCACATTAGCATGGAATCACAGAAATTCCACTCACGTTTGAGCCTCGTACTGCAGTACGGAATGTCCGCCTAGACAAAAGAGCCCTTATATTTCTGATTACATGTTTCCTTGAACAGGGTAGTTCAAGTGTGTTTGCGTGTGTGTGTGCGTCTGTTGGCGAGCCAGTGTTTTGGAAAGACCTTTCATAAGGGAACTAGAAGGCAGATTTGAGACACTATACAGAGTGAGGAGGGACTCAGCATCACGTAGCGGCACAACTGCAGTTGGCAACTAAATGCTAATTTGCATGACTATGCATTATTCATGAGCATCATTTAACACTGTGCGAAATGTTACATTTATTTTGTGAATACTAATTTATGTTAAGCAGTTGATTTAAGGGAGAACTTTGGGAGAATGACACAAATGGCTCTGCAACATTTATTTTATTTTGTCTACACTTCTTTCTAAGTGTTTTCAAATGGAAAAAGCTTGGCTTTATCTGTCCCAAACACATGGAGCCAATCTTTTTGTCAGGCCAGTGTCTGATTTAGATGATGAGGGGTCAATACATAATTAGCCCAGCCTGTTCTTTAAGACTCTTAGTGGGAAGATAATGAATAAATGACTGAGCTAAATCACCACCCATCTTCATCATTCTTTTGGTCACATCAGCAGTTAGAGGGCCAACCACAATGAAAACAACCACATGCTTACATATACGGAGGTCTTTAGGGAAACATTTTAACCTCAGCGAAAGACCACTTAGATAAAGCTCAAAACCATTTTACAGATATAATTCCCATTCGTGCAGGCTTGCCGTATCACGCTTATCAGCGCATCAGATATACAAATCTAGACTGCACATTATTCCAGCATGGCTTCTAATTTCCTGAGTCTTTATGGATTGGTCAAATAGCGTTGCATTGGGACACGCTCTTTGTGTTGACCAAGGACACTCAGGTTACATCACCCTTAGCACATCCCATGATGTACCACGGTGTGGTCACAAAGGACTGGAGGGGAGCTGTGAGGGATGATTGTTGAGAGTCACACAACAATAAGTGTGCCTCTTCTTACTCAGTGTGGCTTGGTGGTGCTAATGGTGTGTGTGTGTGTGTGTGTGTGTGTGTGTGTGTGGTGTGTGTGTGGAGGGGTTAAACCTCCAGTGACAGTGGACAGGTCTGGGATCAGCTGCAGTGCCAGATGCGGAGCTCTCTCTCTGTCTCTGTGATCCCTGAGGGGAGCACTTAATCCCCTCCCACGAGCAGCCCTCTACATGTGTCACACCCGCTGCCAGGGCTGAACCTGAGCCTCCCCGACAAGGGCCTGTCACATCTCACAGGTCACAGCCTTCTCAGGGACAGCCTGGAGAATATAAGCAAGGCACTGCCTGTTTCCTGCACAGAGGTGCAGTGGGGAGCAGTGAGCCCTCCATGAACATGCAAGTCAGGGACCTTGGGATTGTGAGCCTAGTTCTGGGAAGTGCTCTACTTCAATCTCAGGGCTGACAGAGGTGGGGACTCTAGAGTGTGTAGCATACTGAGCTGAGGTGGACAGGGATGAGTGGTGAATTATTGAGACCTAGTCCAAGTCACTCATAGTATAGAGAATGGCAGGGACAGACTGGGACCAGAAATAGGCCCAGTCATCTCTAACACACCGGCCCATTTTTTCCCTCGAGGCCCCCACACAGACCTTTTTTTCCCTCGAGGCCCCCACACTGGCCCTTTTTTTTCCATTGAGTCCCCCATGATTATCCAAATAAATAGAATTTTGTAAAAAATATATATTAATAATTAATTAAATAATTAGACAGGCCCACTGGGCTAAACTGGGTATTTTCCAGAATTGCCCTATGGCCAGTCCATCCTGGAGCATGGCTGGTTTCAGAGTAGTATGGGGGGAACACTGTTAAGTATTTAACAGCTAGGATGTTGTTTTAGAAGAAATGTTCATCTAATCTGATTTTACCACCCCTGTCTGAGCATATGGTTAAGTGGCTTGACCAGATGTTTACTCATGTGCAGTACATTTTACATTTTAATCAATTAGCAGACACTCTTATCAAGAGCAACTTACAATTCGTGCATTCATCTTAAGATAGCTAGGTGAGACAACAACACATCCCAATCGTATCAAGTACATTTTCCCTCAGCAAAGTACACCACAAGATGTATGCCGATTTGGCTCAACTGCATGTGCAAGAATAATTCTGGATGTTGGGAGGGGCAAGCCATCATCCCTGCTTGTCCAGGTGTGTGAGTTCTCATCAGTAGAACAGAGGTTGATCCTGGCTATACCCCTGCAGCATTAAATTAGTGCCAAAAGGCATTATATCAGGGGTGGGAACTTCAAATGCATAATTTAACATTCATTAACTGTGCTCAGCTCTTGAATTATCTAATGATGTGAGTGATCACACATTTAATGAGATCTCTTATTTGCGTTCTTAAACATAGCCCCCCCGTCTCTTTTTCCCTCAAAAAGCCATGTACCACCGATGTGTGTGAGTGGCTTCCCATAGCCCAAAGCGTGTAATATGAGGAGCGCCAAAGGGCATGTATATTTCATACTTGTCTGACTTTTATTTTGGTGGTCCGGGAAGCGTGCAGTCAAAAATTCCTTGCTTGACCAAGAGTTCCACTTTTTTCGCAGCATTCTCAGTGTGGTGCCCTCCATCCCTGCCTGTGACCTTTACAAATACACTTCAGAAATAAACATTGGTGTGGAGGAGACAAACTGAGGCAGAGCACAGGCCCCGAACGAACGGACGCTGTGCTCCTTGCTCTATTGATCGCATCGCCACAGACAGAGCCCAGCAATGTTCTGCTTCCCAGTCAATATGAGGGACAACAACATCCCATGTCCTCAATGAATACAACTATTGGCATAAAATACAATAGCTGGCATTGTCTTACTTCTAATCCCAATGTGTGTCAAACGTGGAAATCTCTCAAATATCTGAATAAATACCACATACTATTGCTAAGCCTGCATCTTTTCAGGAAGGAAAATAGGTGAAAGGCTAGACTTTGGGAGGGAGACAACAGACTACTGTCATGGTTTCTGTCTGGAACTCTGGAAACCGAATAGTGGCGATCCCAGACCATGCAGGGAGAGCTGAAATAGAAAATGACGGTTCTTTCATCCAATCCATAATTTTAAGTCATGTTCCGTTTCATTTGTGCTCTCTGTAATAGTCTGCTAGAATAATGAAGAGGCACTCCTCTGACAATCTGACAAGTCTGAAAGAATAATACCAATCTTGACTCTGATGGAAAAGCGGGGCCTCCTGCGTCTTTTTCATTTCTCCATCTACCCTTCCATTGCATCTGCTTTTCATTAGAAGTAAACATTCCAATTATAAATAAGTATCTGCTTGGTAACAAATGATCAGGCAACAATACGAGAGCTAAAAATGAGTGAGGAACCTCTGAATATCCCACCTCAGCCAACCTTGTTGAACAAAGTAGAACGCTAATCAATCCAGGCAGTATTCTATTACCTATCAAATAAACACCTTTATGGTGGAATACAAATGCAGTCGGATGAAAATGCACTGCTCTTCGTCATGTATTATTCAAGTTGTTAGATGTTAACATTCAATGAGTATTTCAAAGCCTCACGTTAAAGGGGCAATCCGGGATTCAAAAAACAACAAAGCATGACCCCGCCACTTGTTGTGGTAAACAGCTGAGGGATTGGGCTGGAAAAATGTAACCACTCTCAAAATCATAGACAGAGCTATTGATGCAAGGACTGACCATTGATGAGATCAAAATTATAGTTTTAACCATGTTTTGAAGCTATACAGTGTTTGCTAAAAAATACATTGTTTACAAACAATGGAGTAAAATAAGCTTATATTTTGGGTTCTAAAAGGGTCCAACAGCTCATTAGGCATTTATACGTTTTATTGTTAAAGAATCAATGGCTATACATCATTACACTAAAAGTTAAAAAATTGATGCACCAATCCCGGACTGCCCTTTTAAGAGGGACTCCCACAAAGGTTTGAGTGGCAGTTTGACAGCAAACATTTCAAAATGGAGTATTGGGAAAATAAAATTCCTGTGATAATTGGTTGTAATGGTTCCATTTAGAGCAAACACAACAACATATTGGTTTCATTATTGCAATCCGTTAGAGGGCTTTCACTTGAAAGAAATTGCATTGGTAGATCATCCAGTTTGAATGAAGGAGGAGTGTGAGAAGCAGCAGGTGTGTCTCAGTCATTAACAGGTGTTCTTCACGTTTCATTTTAAACACAGGAACCCTCTCCCAACTCCATCGCTCCCCTGCATGTCTGAGACCACAGATGTCGTGATAAGCAACAATGATGAAATGCTGCCCTTTGATAAGAGTGAAATGCTGCTGGGTGCTTATTGGCTCTTACCTGATGGATTGAGCAGTCGCCAGGTGATTGATGGATCTGGCCTCCCATTGGCTAGACAACTCAATGTCACATTGCTGCCTTCGTTCACAGTGATGTCTTCTGAAACTTTGTAAATGTTTGCCGGAACTGTAAGAGAAAGTGGCAGATATGAATGATTCTATTAGTAGAAGCATTTTCTATGGTAGGGTTTGAGTCTTCCTAAGAACTGTGTAATGTATTTTCAAAGGCAAGAATTGGAACCACAATGTAGTATTACAGTGAATGAAGTATATGGTTTATGAAATACGCAAATACTACTTCATTATGTGAAGCAAAATGTCAAATGTCAACATGAGCAATTATCAACAACAGGAGAGGCATTATGCAAACGGCTGCGGCATGAACATAAGTCTTTACAACACGTTTGTCGCTGTGGCATAGGCTACATGTCCATTTTTCAGTATAGTTGAATGCAAAAGTATTGCCATGTTAATTCAACAAGTGAAAAGGAAAGTTGAGAAGCAACTTCAAAGGGAAAATAGTTTCTGTACCTCAACCCAATCCATTACCAACCAAAATATTAAATGAACTGAAACGCTAGGTGTATGACTTTGACTGATGTTCAAAGAAAGCTGAACGTTTGTCATCTGAATGTAATGTTTAATCGGCCTTCTACCTCTCAATTCTGATTTACTCTGTCCCTAAACAAATAAAACAGGGAATGTTTACTCAGATAAAACTGCTCTGACAAATTAAGAAAGTGAGGTGCACTCCATTTTCAAATTGGTCAGCAATTCAACTGTAATCAATCTGAGTGTACAGAGTGGGCATACAGACATCATTGTGAATTTCAAAACTGTGGGTGGATGGAGGCGAGGTGTTGTAGACGCATATCTTTGCTAGAAACTAATGATCAATGACTTGTCAATGATGAATGGGGCAAAATACATAGAGTAATACAGAAACATATTCCATATTATTGTAGAAGTTGAACAAGTAGCTCAATGCTTACAAATGCACATATACTGCATATGTCCAAATACCACTCTCAGGTATAATAAATATGTTCTATAACATTCTAACATGTCATCTAAAATAAGACGTGTTGCAGTCAAGGTGACTCAAACTGGTAGTTGCCATGCTGTGTGATATTTGACAACATTGACAACATGTTCTATATGTTGTCAAATATGACAGAGGAATAATCAATACATCAGTGCTCCTCTGGATTTTTCCTCCCCCCAAAAGGTCTGTTTTTATACTGATAGTGACCATGTAACATCCCTTAGCTGATGCTGTATACACTCCTCTAGATTCCCTCTCTTTGGCCACTACAGCCTGTCACTTTAATGACATCTGACAACATAGATATTTTATTGCCAAACAACATTAAATGAAGCCATTCAGAGTTATTGCGTGAGTCAAATGGCCACAGAAAGTGAAGATGTGTTTCTCGATATGGGAAAGATTGAAGTGACAGGGAATCCAATAGCTTTTCCGCAAAGAAGCGGGACGGAAATATCAATGCTCTGATTGGCTGAATGAGGACCCGAGCATTAATCCACACCAGGCCAGTCGCACAGATAACAATGTGTTTGAGAGGAAACAACAGCTCCCAGACAGATAACCCTGTCACGTTCTAAACATAAATAGTTGAGGCGGTTCATGAGTCAAATGAATAAAGAGTGTAAACCATTTCAACATAGTGGCTATAGCTCCCAGCAAGGATTGCAATCTTAGTCATGGGTCAACCTTCAAGGAACAATATTTGAAAGGGCAGTTCTTTGAAAAACTCTTTCCCTGGCTGCCCAATATTCTACAGCGATGTTCAAGGGACTGTGTGAGGTTGATTTTACACACGTAGCCTAGAAAAATAATTTGCCGTTCCGACGTTAGATGGTGGGATCAACTGTAACTTTAGCTTCTGCCAAAACATTTATTTTGCCTTTCAAGTAACACATCAATGATTTCATCTATGGGCTGAGATAAGAAAGTAGGCTATTTATCTCCTTTTAACATTTTTTTCCTTAATTCTTTATTTGAGCATTTTCACATTTCTTCAAATTATTTTCGATATTTTTTCTCTCCAACCTCGTCAACATAATATTTTGAGTCAGCTTATTATACCCCAAAGACCTAGTGATCCTAAAAAAAAGTGAAAAACGGATAGAAAATGTATTGCGCAAATACATTGACCTTCGTTTCAACTTTGATAATACAACTTCAAAGCCTTGGAAGCATGAGAAACTACATCATAATTAGAAGAAGCTTGTTGTATCCATGTGATAATATAACCTGACAGTCAGCTTCAGGCTTTTCCTGGATTCCTGATGAGCCAAACCACCTAGGGAGGTAGCGATGATCAAAGTCCCAGAATGGTTCACCTCAGAGAGGCATAAAGAAACCCAGCTGCACCTCCAGTGTCATAGCTGTCCTGATCAATGTGTTTACTGTCAAGCCACAGCCTTTTAATCTAGCTATGACTCATCTTTAGCTGAATATGGTCGCAGAGAGAGAGAGACAAACACAGAAAATGGAACAGAATACGCTTGGTAGCCGATTAAGATTCTCACCATCGCACTCTGCCTGGCACATGCACACATGTACAACCATTTCAAGGTACCATGCATGAAATGAGCCATCCAGTTGAAAGAGAGAGGAGTACAACAGGTATTCCCAGGCAAAATGTCTCATACCTGCATTGTGTAATGTCTCAAACTACACTGAACAAAAACATAAACGCAACATGTAAAGTGTTGGTCCCATGTTTCATGAGCTGAAATAAAGCATCCCAGAAATGTTCTATACGCACAAAAAAGCTTATTTGTGCACCAGTGTATTTACATCGCTGTTAGTGAGCATTTCTCCTTTGCCAAGATAATCAATCCACCTGACAGGTGTGGCATATCAAGAAGCTGATTAAACAGCATGATTGGGACAATAAAAGGCCACTCTAAAATGTGCAGTTTCGTTACACAACACAATGCCACAGATATTGCAAGTTTTGAGGGAGAGTGCAATTGGCATGCTGACTACAGGAATGTCCACCAGAGCTGTTGCCAAATAATTTAATGTTAATTTCTCTACCATAAGCCGCCTCCAACGTTGTTTTAGAGAATTTGGCAGTACGTCCAACCGGCCTCACAACCGCAGATCACGTGTATGGCGTCGTGTGGGTGAGCGGTTTGCTGATGTTAACGTTGTGAACAGAGTGCCCCATGGTGGCGGTGGGGTTATGGTATGGGCAGGCATAAGCTATGGACAACAAACACAATAGCATTTTATTGATGACAATTTGAATGCACAGAAATACCGTGACAAGATCCTGAGGTCCATTGTGAGGCCCATTTCTTTTAAGGTATCTGTAACCAACAGATGCATATCTGTTTTCCCAGTCATGTGAAATCCATAGATTAGGGCCTAATGAATTTATTTCAATTGACTGATTTCCTCAAATGAACTGTAACTCTGTAAAATCCTTGAAATTGTTGCATCTTGCATTTATATTTTTGTTCAGTATACTTGCTATTCATGTCAAATTTTTATAACACAAAGAATGCAGTCATATCATGCCAGGAACGTTGGCCTTCCTACAAAATTATATACTTCTATCTGTTCTTTAGTTTTGGTTATTTTTCCTATGACCTGTTCTTTTCTGAAAGTCCCTTTCTTATCCGATCAGTCGAAACAGAAGTCTTTGGGTTAGCCTGCTATCAAGTAGAGCACCACACTTTGATGTTCTCCATAGTCAAATCAAAACAAAATCGTAGTGTGTTATAAAATTACATCCGGTTAAAACAGAGCTGTTTATACTTCATTGTACACCAGTAACACCAGAGCTCTTTGAATGACTCTACTACCATACCAACTGACCTCTGCGGATCGCTCCTTCTGTCTCTCCACCCACGCCATCCTGCCACGTTCAGACATGACATTTGGACCGCTGATGTCACAGGCCTAAGTGTTGTCGAGGCAATTACATTTCCATAATTTGAATCATTAAAGCATAATCACGGGAAAGCGCTCGCAGCATTGAGTTCTGCTTTTAGGACTAGCAGCCAATTACTTTCCTCGGTGTGCAACAAGGCCATTGTACAAGGAACTTCTCAGAGGAGACAAAACAATCTCCTGAATGTTGTGACACCTCTGAAATGTAATAACATCACCTCAAACAAGCTCATGACTGGCTGCTGGGCACCTCCCCAAACCTTGACCAAAAGAGGCAATCTGTTACCACTGAAACAGTGAGAATGACAGCCAGGCAATTTTGTCCATTTAAAGGAGAGGCAACCATCAATTTAGTGGGTCTCTTCAGGATTGGGACCGCTAAGGTCATAGGGAAGAAAAGTGTTTATGCATGAGCCTACACTCCTCTTTGACAAGCCCAGAGGACATAACACATACAAACACGAGTACTCTCTTGAACACGGTCATTGTGAGTCTGCTTGAGTAAGGCAGAATTGAAAAGGAAAAAGAACAGATGCAATTAATTTAAATGTTAATTTAAAAATCCTCTTAACAGATTCTGTCGTTAGAAAAATATTGTTGCAGGGAAGTAGAGCCTTGTGATCTGATTCATCGTTAGTTTGTCTGTTTTGTAAGCATACACTTATTGTTTCTTACTTTCAATGTTCATAAACCTATGACTCATTGATCCTAGTCCCTTTGAATTCATCATGGTGTCTATGTGAGTTACCACTATGACAAATGTGTATTTCACTAAATACGAACAAACTCTGGATTTTGCCAGTTTCCTCATAATAACAAACACAGAAGCGTTGCCAACATGTTTAATCAGAGACCTCGGGGTGTGTTTTCTCTGCAGCGGAAGGCGTCTCTCAGGCTGCCACTAAGGAGCTGAAAGAGATGGCACACTTTTAACAGGATACTGCAGTGCACAGAGCCACCAAGCAGTGGGTGCCTCAGCGCCTTTCATTGTGCACTTCTGGCAGGAATGCTGGAGATGTTGCTCCACCAACATAATCGTCGCCAGCAGCACTCCATGATCTAAACTAAAGCTCTCTCTGAACTTTCAAAGGGAAGAGAGGATATCAAATAGACTAATGCTCATTGAAGACCCTTTGGAGCAGGGCTTTCTGTTGATGTGGAGAGACATTCAGAGGCAGTTCTTGCTGGCCAGATTAA